GAATAAATAAGGTTAACTATAAGAAAGTGTGGTCTGTTTTATGTGAATAAAATATTTGAAGAAAGTAAGATACGATTGCACACATTGTGTATATTCATAACCAGGATCTGAAAGATTTTGACGCTGTTGGATTGAAAACTAAATGAAATAGAATCGAAATAAGTGACGCTAATAATACGAATCAAGGAAGTGAAGAACTTAACTACTTCAATACAAATAAATTAGTACAAAACAATATTTTTAATTCAATTTGAAATGGTTTTCCGATTATTCAATCGTTAATACTTTGACTGAAATTTAATGAGTCTCGGTTGGGATAAATGCACCTTCATTAAGCCATTACGACATAATTTTAAGTAGAATAGATGGAATTCGGTTAGCAATGCAATCCAAGAAGTTCTTTTCGTTGTGGGTTCGAGTTCTGCAGTGAACATAAATTCTAGGATACTGTTATATCCAGCTAATGAGACTTGAGCAGAACAAAACTTGAATCCTGATTTCCAGTACGTACCACATTCCACCCATTCTCTTAAAATGATATTTGTTCAGTTTACTTTGATGGCAAAGTAAGTATATTATACCTGTGTTTATTGTTACGGCTCATCACACAGACCATTTAGCCGGGAAATGCAACTTTATCATTGTTTCATTTTCAGGGTTACAGTATACCAGTTGAATACGGTTGGTCGACTTGAAACTGTTTTGAAAACAAAGTAAATAAAACTGATCAAAACAAGACTTTTCAGCTAAAACTTACTTATTAATTAGCAAAATCGGACGCCTTTTAAATTCATCACCAGTCTCGTAGTTAGTTAATGATTTTCTATTTCTTTCAAGATAATCAGTTTTCTGCATTTTATTTGAGACTCCACTATTAATTAAATAGTTAAGCCTAGTTTATTACTTCCCAGAAAATAGCATGACATCTACACCCCAATGTCTCTGTTCAATTGTTTCTTAAATTAGCTCCACAATCATAAGATAATGGTATGTAGCGAATGTTGGAAATATGACTTTCAGTTAGTGGTGTGCTTCGTTCCATATAATACACAGAAGATCATTTTCTTATCTTACAAATTAAAATACAACAATCTACTTGACTTAACCTCTAAATTATTCATTTTTTGGTTGCCTACTAAAACATCGATCTCGCGTCAAAGTAATTGTATCGAAATAAATTGTTTAAATGCTCATATGTGTTTTAAAAATTTCACTTTTTAACTGTTCAATTTGAGAATTCACTGGGGTGTAACCTTTGGAAAATTACAGTTGCACCAAGTGCAAAGTATTTCACCAAACATATTAAATGAATTTTTTTCTTCAAGTTTCAAACTATTATTTGGACAGTTGAAAAATTCAGTCTGAAAGACAGTAACGAAAAAAACTCAGATCGATCAAATAATTTATCTGTAATCTTTGTTCTGAAGCGTGTCAAAGTCAAAAGAAGCGTCCATAATGATTAATGAAAATGCGAACATGAAAATCTTTTCAGTGATTATAGGCAGTTAAATGAATTTTAATGGAAATTTTTAGTTTTGAATGAATGAAGGGTATTTATCTACTTTATTGAAAATATTTAACCTTTACAAGAACACATCATTGATCTCATGCAAGAAGGTATTCTATTCAAGGTCAAAATGATAAACATTTTAGAGTTTTTATTGCCGCTTATTCTCTCGTATGTTACCACAACTAACTTAATACTTTATCTTTCCTAATTTATTTGACTGTTCATTGATCAATAGTAAAACTATTAAGTGACCATGTTTAGTCAGAATAGTACAAAGTTTCATGCTATATGTAAACAACTTGAATTCTCATTCTCGGTTAGGTCAATTCAGTCAGTAGTCGACAGTGTTGATACTTCCTTCTTTTAATGTAGCGTGCATAATGTTGCTTTCCATGACTGAAGTTGGAAATGCGAACCAGAGAAATTTGATTCAGTGGTTTTATGCTCGGAGAAGACTTTAAGTTTTCGGTTTCATTTTGGCCGGTAATCTGTGCTGATAAAAAAGTCCCGTGCTGGGATGAAACAACTGCTCCGTATTTTTTCCTCTCGATACCATCTATAATTTAATTGTTAAAAACAACAACATAAGTACCTTAAATATGGATGATATAAAACCTGTTTATTCCAACCATGGATTTTATTCAACATGACGCGATATACTTTATTCTACAAACCGTACGCTTAGTCATTCATTATTTAAGGACAATTTGACATTGACAAAGGCAGCAGCTGGTGATACAGTAACAACAATGAAAACTAAGCACAATGTATGCTATTGCTACTATTGACGTTATTATCTTAATCTAAAGTAGCGAGAAATTACATTATTGCCCTACGACAATAATGCATGAATAAATGCCTAGAAGCATGTGATAAATCAGTAAAAAAAACAAACAGCAGGTGGTAAAATGTTGTTGTTTTTTTTTTGAACTTGACTATGTTAATTATGATGTAAATAATGTTATTTTTTAAAACAAAAAGACACTACTAAATACAGTTTCTAATAGAGGATGAAAAGAAGAAAAAAAAAAAGTTTTTGGAGTTTATTTCTAAATAACTTGATAGTTTTACATCAATGATTTTTTGATGTTGGGATAATTGACGTTTTGAAAATACCATTGCCGAAACTTCACTTGCCAATTTTAAAATTTAATGGGTAACTAGGTTGATAGATTGTTGATTATAACGAAAACCCGTGTATTTTGTGATATCTTAATGATTTTAAAAACGGAATATCTAACTTTCGCGACCTAACATTGGTTATTTCTTTAGACAGTAAACAACTTTTTTAAAGTTAACACAAGTTCTAAAGTCAAAAAAACCCGTTTAGATTAAACGCTCCGTGTATTTGGGCTAGTTTGATTGAGGTGCAACCATGTTATTTGGATCGAAGTGAAAAACCATTTTATGAATTCATGTATTTTTAGTCTGCGACGTACACTATGATCTGATGATTCACTAAGTATTTGTGGTATCATAATGACAATTCTTTGAATATATTATCTAAGCTGTCTGAAATATTGAACCTTTATTCCACTGAGTGGCAAATTGTTTCAAAATAATTATTTGCTCGTTACTGACTGAGCAACTCACTGTTGTTGAGATTTTAGTTTGTAGATCTCTAAGTTCACCAAGATTATTGAAAGGCCGTTTTTTGTAGCTTGAATGATTTTCGGGATTAGTCAATAACACACACGATTTTCAAAATACAACTGATTATAATTACCACAACAAACAAACTCTTGTGTAGATATTTAAGAATTTCTGTCTTTTACTCCTATTATAACACTTAGAATTGTTTTGACTCTGCGTTGCTTTAGGATATTCTGCAGCTCTTTTGTCATACCTTAGTAATGAGTTAAAACTATGATCTCATTCCAATAAATCTCTTTCCAACCTTTTCTATTTGGAAATATATCATTTCATTTTAAGACAGTGACTAATTTACACTTGGAGAAGCGATGTGTGAGAAGACGCTAAGCATAGAAAAATTTAGATTTCCTATTTTATTAATCTATTTACAATTTTCGCTAGCCTTCTAATTTGAAGTCGTTTGGAAATAATTAGTGGTTAAGATATTCTTATTACTTTTAAATAAAAGCTTTTGATAGCTTTAAGTTAGAAACATTTGGGTTGTTTAACGACAGACCAAAATGTGCTGAGTTTCCAATGTATCACAGTGTCAGACCATGTTACCCAAAAGGTTTTAGAGTAACGTGTTCGGCCACTTGATGAATCTCTAGTGGGTTTTCTTGAATCAACTGAGGATCGACCACATTTTTCACTAATGTTTTTTACAGACTAGTAGTGAAGAAAAACCAATGACAGATATGTTAATCTTCTAGTTGTTGGACTAAGGCAATAACAATCTGGTTAAGTGTGAATGGAAATATTGATCCTTTCTAGTCAGTCAGTCAGTCAGTCAAACGTTGATATACTTGAAGTTTGTTGTCTACTGTTTTTTCAACATCATTCAAGGTAACATAGGTTCTTAATGAAAGATACTTGACAATGGTGATTGTCATCTGGAAACATCAGCTTAACAAATCAAAATATCACAGTTTCTCCGACTTAGTTGTTAGACAATTTTAAATGTTCATCTTATTTTTATGAACAAAAGAAGATTTTGATGAAAATTTACTGAGCACATTTTGACAGATACGGCTGACTGACTGAAGCACTGGTTACAAATATTTACCATCTTAGCAGAATTGAAAATAACCTCTATTTATTTATATATTTTAAGCTTGATTATTGAAGAAACTTTCACAATACATTAGATTTAATGTGGATAAGTAGTGAACTGTAAACGGCTGAAACAATAAATTTGAAATTAGAGGACAGTAATTGGAAAATATATCACCGTTTCTGTGGGACACCAGTTCACCTAGATTAATTACTTGTGAGAAATATGAATTTTTTTAGGTAGATTACAGATTTATGGAATATTTACATCTTTTCCAGTTTGCATAAACTTTTTATACACCATTTGTTGATTAGATCTCATATCAAGGTACTTGGAATATTTCATACGTCCTTCTGTTAGATTTTTCAAATCTGATAATGTAGAGTTTTATTAGCATTTGAGACAGCCGACATGATGTTAGGTGCTTGGAGGTAGTTGACAGGAAACTATGGACCTCGGTTTCAAACTAATTGTCGCTCGTCATCAAGGTTTACATGCAATCTTGACAGAACAGACAGATTTCAATCACGAACAGGGGTTAGACAAACATAACATTAACCACTACTCACTGGTCAATCACTGTACACATCTGAAAGTACTGGGTAATTGAACAATTATGTGCGACCTAATACACTATTTAATACATAATATATATATAATTTTATAACTGGTAAACCTGAAGACGAATTTATTGAAGATAATTATAGTCTTGAATATTATTTTGCTTTTATATAAAACTATTTTAGGAAGACAAAATATTCGTTTTATTACAGAGTTGTTTTTTCTACATGTTTATATTCACAGATGCATTTTATCCTGGTAAGGCTGTTTCCTTTTCCGAATTGTATATACCATCAGAAGATGACATTATTACGAATGCTGGTATTGTCACTACTGCCCCATCTATCACTAGTAGCAACTGTCGGTTTCGTATTGAAGCAAATCAAATTTTCAAACCTAACATAAACGGAGATATGAGTCAACTGGATGAATTATCAGGTGAATTAGTTTCACCTACCTATCCAGGTTACCAACCTAACAATCTTATTTGTGCATATCAGTTAATTGGGCTTCCATATCAGCGAATTAGTCTGGATATTTTGGACATAGATTTATACTCAGGATCACCAGGGTAAGTAATGTGCCATTTGATAAAATATTAGCATTATACGTGTTGTCTTTCATTAAATCTATGGTTTAAACACATGAAACTCTTAAATATAGATTTGGAACTTATCAAGATTTAACATTTTAGTTTTGTTTACCAACTGAATTAAACATTTATTCATTTCATAATAGTTGTAAAACTTTATTAATGAAGTAGTTAGTTGATAAGAAGACCTCTTGGATAAGTGAGCCCATTGTCTAAGAATTAAGGAACTAAATTATCTCGATCAGCTCATACGAGTTATTCATTTAATAGTAACATGAAGTTTGGAATATGAGACAATATTTGGGAAACGTATAGTGTACCGACGACCTTGAGCGGCCTAATAGTCAATCAGAAAACTCAGCCTAGTCACAAAACAATCAGTAGCTAAAAGTATAAAAATATCCGTAGAATAATAGCTTTGATCTAAGAAATCAACCTTTACTTGTTTAATTACTACCTGTAGCAAAAAGAAGAGGTAAAGTTTACTTTTAATATGTTGGTTTAGAGCTATCAGTTACGGTTATTAGTCCACAGAGTTAACGTCACCTACTGAAACCCTCTACTATGCAGAAAAGTTAGGGTTAGGTATTAGGAGTCAGGCTGGAGTTCTGAATTGAGTTTATACATCAGGGTTAGGGTTTCCATCACAAAATGACATCAGCTATGATGCAATGTTATGTCATTCTACCGTTTACAAACTAAAGAGGTTCGTAGTTACGATTTAGGGTCGGAGTTAAAAAGGGAGTATATAATCTAGCTTCACTAAACACTCTTGACAACATATTGAATAACAACAAGTTATCTATTACTACACTCGATAGTTCACTCAAACTACATGAGGCATTATCTTGATTCTGATTGATTAACTTGAGGTCAATGATGTATTATACTTTTACTCAACATTTAATTTTCGGGTTTTATTTCATCACGAACTAGTACGGATAAAGTACTGAGTTTTAAGTTAAGACATAAGTCAGAAGTATAGGAAATAACAAATTGTTATTTGTATTAAGTGTTTTATTTTATACGTCATGCAATTCATACGCAAATCAAGATAAAAGACTTCAAATTTAAAGTCATACGTGACTAATTTCAAATCATATGCTTGACCAATTGTTTTAAAATTTTTACTTGCGATTTATCAGCTTATCTTCTCAATGTTAATGTGGGATAGTTTATATACCTTTTTATCGATCATGATACGATTTCAATGGTATTCTACTATTTTGTCTTAATATTAAATTATACGTGTCCTCAAAAAACCTTAAACACGGTTAACTGGTTAACTAACATGATTAATGTATAACTGCTCACGGTATGTAGTTGGTCCTCTTTTATTATACTGCAGCATCAGAAATTTGTATGAACTACATATATCTAATTATGTTGAATACTCCTGCAATATTTTATTATTTCAATGAGTCCACAGAAGACTAGTAATCTCTGTCAGCAGATTGAATGCAGTATGTGGGTAGATATTTTGCCACAAGTAATAATGCAGTCACTTGGAATATGACGTTGCTTGTAAAGTTGATCACTATATCATAGTCATGGGTGGCTCTCTTGAATGCATTCTTAGCCTGTTTGCAGTATTGTATAGATAAACTGATAAAAAGACAAGGGTGATCTATATAACAATGACAGTTGCATCTTTTGGAATGAATAGGGACATTTTTACAGCAATACTTCTCAGAACTAACTGTTGAAGACCGTTTGTCCTTCCATTGACTGCACTGGCTATTCCAAAGTTTGTGCTGTTGATGTTGTTCAGAAGAACAATGAAAGCTTCACAACCAAAATATCCAGCTCAGAGAACGAAAGACCACCACAATATATATATTTATTAACTAGCGTCCGTGTTCGTATATGGTTTAAGTACCTTTCGATTTCTAAAATTATTTCAAATTAGAGTACGAACATTATAATAATGTTCAAAGGTAATCATACAAAGACAGGGTTATTTAAACTGTTTTCCATTATTCTATGTTTATTGATAATATCAGGCTTCTTTTACTGGTTGCTTGCATTGTGCTGTCACTTCTATCTACCCATAGTCAAGTATTTGGATTGAATTTATCTTATCTACAACTTTGTAATTCCAATGGACACATCTAAGAATTAACTAGTTGTTGCCAAATTGTTCAAATATGATGGAATGAATGTATGTAAATTTTTGTCAAATATATTTTAATGTGGCTGAGTAAATTACTAACTATTTACTTAACCACAGACTTTAATATTATACTTAAATGTATTACATCTTTGTTTATATATACCGAAATCAATACTGTTCACATGTCAGTTAATTAAAAAAGATATTTTAATAAACTAATCAGTAACGAAAGAATATTTAGTTAGTGACTGAACTTTATGCGAAAAACTATTTAAAATTCTTAATCAACTGGATATTTATTTGTACTTGGTTTCAAATTTTAAGCTTATCAGTTTGATTTTGTTTAAACTATAACAAAGCTCTAGCAATTTAAGCAAGATGTTAATTAATTATTTAGTCAGTTTTGTTTTGTAGATTTTTTTTGTTATCTTGTACAATGACAGATCACAAAATCAAGGCATGGCTTATTTATTTTTCCTAAGGATTGTTTTCTCTTCTTGTTTACTGCACATCACTGATTTAACCATTTATATAAGGCTGTGTTGCTTGAAAAAATATTTGCATATATGCCGATTTATCTATCATCTCGTTTGAATTAAAGTGTGAAAAATGAGAAAATATTTAAACTAACTTGTGTTGAAATATCTGGTTACTGTTGTAGATAAAGTATACAATTTTTAACGTTAGTTTCTTACTAGTTGTTTATTCACCTAATGGTATGCTTAGAAACCTGACAATCTTTTTGTCATATTGGTTATAAGTGAGTTTAGCTTAGATGGAGATCTGTTCAGAAGAAAACAGTTTTATCAATAAAACTGTTCCATATTGAGAAACTCACAAATGGATATCAAATGTTTGTGTGAGTTCAACTGAACTATAATTATTCTTCAAGTCTTTGAAGAGTAATTTTGTTTTGACAGCTGAAATAACACCATGCAATCAAAAATCACCCATTAATTGTTTTTATTTGGAAACAAAGTCCCGTAGGAAAAGATTTCCGACTTTCATAAAAGCTTACCTCAAATTCTTGCTTCTGTTCGTTAAAATTTTAACACCGACAAAATTGAGTGAAATGTAAAGGTTAGTACTTTCCAACTTTTACAGTGTACAATATAGCAGGATCACAACTGCGTTACTTAACAGTTTTGCAAGAAATACCTTGAGTAGTGCTTTACTTGAGTAACATCACTAAACGCTCTTACTCTTATATCAAACTGTTGTCGGAATGTAATGAAGGCCGTTGTAAATAGTAGTAGTAAACTTTCTACTGTTTAGTAATAGAAGTAAATGTAACTATTAAGGGTTTGTAAGCTTTATTTTTCTTCTATTTTGATATCCAATAACACAAAACTATCATTTCATTTTGACGTCTTCGAACTCAAATAATTCGATTTAATTTTAAATTAATAACTATGTGTTGTCACCGTCAATCCATGGTATAAATTGAAATTATGATCATCCCTTGAATAGTGTAATCAATAATATCTCCCAGAGTACAGAGTATACACAATTATTGATCGCTTTATTTATTGAACTGACATACTCTGGTGAGCGAAACAGTATTTTAAAGTGGAATAGAATTTCAAATGTGTTGAAGTTTGTTTTTTTGTGTGTGTGTTACTGATGAACTAATGCTTTACTGTTTGTTTGCTTCCTCTGCTATCGCATTGATCCATGCGAACGATGTTCAAATGAAATACCATAACAATTTACTTATTCATTTGTAAAAAACTTTAATCATAACCAAACTCCTAATGATGATAGTTTTCCACTTGGTTAGTTTAAAGATAATATGAAAATAGAAGAAAGCATGTTGATTTCCTAAATGATAATTTAATTCATTCATTTTTTGTATACGATAGAAAATTGTTTGAACAAACAAAAAAATCATAGAACTGCTACAACGTCGATAGAAAAAACGAACACATTCACCCAATAACAATATATTTGATCATTTGGCAAACCATAATAATTCAATTTATTGATGATGTTTAGATAGTGATTGGTAATCAGTTGTAACAGCATAATACAGTGTGTGTAACTTTTTCTTAGGATCTCTTTCACTTACCAATAAACAAGAGAAACTTTAGAGTCCTTTAATCCATACTCACTTGTTTATTACGCATAAGTAATTTTTTAAACTGATCATTTATATCATGAAATTGTTTGTGCAAAGAAACAAATACATCAGTTGATTTAGCTTTCAGTCACAATGGGACTACAATGAACAAAGTGAATAAATAATGAATTGGAACCTAATTGATGTTTAGTTATCAAGCGAATCATGTGAATGTTGAATCAGTTTAAGTAGTACTGATTGATATTTCATAGAATTAGTCAGTGTAGGAAAATGCATTGTTGCACTAAATTTAATCTTTCACTTTTAATCACAGTTTGAGTTTCTTTATGATATTTTCAACTTGATGTTTTATTCTCTGAAAACCTAATCAGTAGAGTTTTGAAAATTATCTAGAATTTGAATGGAAGTATTCATTTAATCGAAAAAAAGTTTGTGAGCTTTGAATAGTAGTAAAACAATAAAAATCAATGTATGCTTTGACGAAACGATGAAGGACTCGCATAGATTGCTGGGAACTCAAAGAATTTCATCCTATTAACAAATTGTGAGGCAGCAAGCATCCAGGTCGCCATATCAAACACAGTTTTTGCAAGCTCGATATCATTCAGTATACAGTCAATTACTTTGCTAGTTTACATCATGGATTAATGTTATTTAGCCAACAACCGAAAACCAGGAAATGAATTTCGTATAAACCCTCTTCATTAATTATTCTTAGTGATGTTATTGTGAGCATATATAACTTACAAATAAACAAATACCCGTAGACATGTTAGTAGTTAAACATAATTCGTTCACCGACTGAAACACTTGAAAGTGTATAGGGTGAAGCCAAACCTGCGGTGGAAGCCAAGTTATTCCGAATGAGGAAAGTTGTATAGTATTTAGTTGAAATAAAAATGCTTAACCAATTCGCGCTTATCCATTTATGATCACACAAAGAAATGATACTAGTCAGTCACATAGGTAAAACCTTTTTCAGTTTTCTTTTGTCATATATCAGTAATATTGCACAGTGTTATCTGTGAATATTCAGCATCACTCCTGATTTAATTAATTCAATATATCACGACTTTGCACCCATATCACAGAATAGATATTCACTAGCATTCCATTATTATTCATTTAAGTCGCATGTTAATGATCGTGATTGGTTGAAGTTGCATCAAAAATTCATACTTCGATTATATGAATATTTGACACCAATACTCTTAGTTTCTCACATAAAATACTTACGTTAGAAAGGATTATAAACTGAGATTTGAACTCAAACTGTGAAACCATTAATTACTCGTCTATTTCTCCATTTTTAACCTTCATGATATTTTATCTGATGTCTTCTTTTTTTTGTAAAACAGTTCTTTTCTTATGATTAATATAAGGCCTGACAACAAGGCCTTGAAAGTTGCTTTGTTAGCTTTATCCTTTTTTAAATTGAAATTTTAAAAATTGATTTACTTGGTAGAGAGATTTTAAAAATTTAGAATTTCTTCATTGATCTAACTCTAGAATTCTTTCTTCTTTTAAAATTATATCTCTACCGACCGGTAAAATACTGTCTGTCAGATGTATTCTCTTTATTGTCAGTTTAACAAAACAGATGACTACTTATTAGACTACTAACTCATAATAGTGAATACAATACGATGGGTAGTGTTCCAGATTTCAAAAGTGTTCTAACTGCCCTGACTTATACATATTAATACATAGTTTTTAACCTATTTCCTATGTAAATTACTTTGATATTTTATGTTTCAGATGTCCAAAAGATTATATTCAATTCTATGATGGCATTCAAATAGACAATACTAGCATAAATCGAAATTCTATTGGTCAGCGAATATGTGATCAGTCAGATATTATTCATATTGTATCAACTGGACCAAGTTTAGTGATACTATTTGTAACTGGTCAGATTCAATCTTTAGATTATGTGAATAACAAAAAGGATAATACTGTGATAAATGCATTAAATATAACACGTCGGGGTTTTCGACTACGTTATACATTCAATAAAAATTTATTACCTGTCAGTGAAATACCCGGAGGTGAACATGTCCGTGGAACAGGTAAACTGACATGTAAACCTTGTGAATTTGAATACATTTACCTTAATTTATTATTTCTGATTTCTAAATTTAATCATTCACCATAATGGTATCAAGTTCATCCTGGTACACCTGCATCTATCAGTCAATAAAGCCAAATTATCAGTTAGCAATAAATTGTTAATAAGCCAGTTATATAGTTGGATAGGTTAGTTTAAACAAATGTAAACTACCGAAAAATGTAATATTTTGAGTTAATTTTGGCAGTGGTTGAATATATGAACCCGACTGGTTTCATTATCCGTTTGAGATTACTAGCTACCCGTTTGTAATAACGTGGAAACTACTTTTAATAGTTCCACATTTAAGTGCGTAACTGGAACTGATAACTATTATATCTCCTGTTGTCAGTTAGATTCTGAGGAACAAAATTTTGATTGTCGGCTTAAAGATTTACTTGGTAGAGAGATTTTAGAAATTTAGAATTTCTTCTTTGTTCTGACTCTAGAATTCTATCTACTTTTAAAATCATATCTCTACCGACCGGTAAAATACTGTCTATCAGATGCATTCTCTTTGTTGTCAGCTTAACAAAACAGATGACTACTTATAAAGATTCTAATGGCATCGATTAGACTACTAACTCATAATAATGAATACAGTACGAAGTGTAGTATTCCAGATTTCAAAAGTGTTCTAACTGCCTGACTTATACATAATAAAATATAATTTTTAGCCTATTTCCTATGTAAATTACTTTGATATTTTATAGAACTGATAACTATTATGTCGCCTGTTGTCATTTATATTATGAGGAACAAAAGTTTGATTGTCGGCTTAAAGAAAGTATAGGCCTCTCATAACCTGTCCACGCTTTTCATTTACAAGCTTTTTGCTAAATGAACCTTTACTGTTTAATTTAGATGAGTATGTTAAAAACTTTATGAACCATTGATTTAGACAATTATTCAATTTATTTTTACACCAAAAATTAATTTTTTCAGAATGTGATTATGTGATAAAGAGCCAAGATTCTTTGGAAAAACAGTTTGAATCACCTACAATGAATAATAATTTCGTATTAGCTCCAAACAGAGTATGCAATTTCATATTTATCGGAGACCAATTCAAACAATACATTGAAAGTGTATCCATTGGATTTGAACGAATCGAATTACCAAAGTCAAGTGAAGGAAGTCAAATGTAAGCGATTGTATTCACATTGTTTTGGTCAAGATTTACTAAAGTGCTAAGTGTAATTACGTTTGATTGATTTTATGTGATATTTTTTCTGATCCTACTTACTTATTTACTTACGCCTATCACCACTAATAGAGCATAGGCAACCGACCATTTCTGGTTAGTGTTCATTTAGCGCATATCTAACCCTCCTTTTTTATCCGGGCTTGGGACAGGCAGCAACCTTAGAAGGGCTCCAGGCGGAGCTTATTTTTTCTGAGCAGTTGATATTTTTTTTTTTGGAGCGATACAACTAAAGCTGAGCGAGAAGAAAACAAAAACAATGCACCTACACTAAGAGTTCGAACTGTATGATCATTTAAATTACTACTGAGCATACATAGTTAAGACTACTGACTATGTTCGCTAATCTTTACAACGTGATCGGTGAAATCCGCCACCATTATATTGATTTTGATGCAACAATTTGAAGGCAGTTTAAATTTAATTAAGAATCTGTAAACTTAAAACAAGTGTTCATTTTATTCATGACTTATGCCGCACACTATATAGAAACCTATCGAGTGATTCAAAAACATCACAAATTATCACTAGTTCAGAAGAATAAGATGTGGATTTGGGTTTTATTTTTTGACATTAAACAATGACAATGATGTTCAAAGAAGCAAGTATATTGATTAAGGTGAAGACATTTGGTATATGACATGTGTTGTTAGAAAATATAAGACAAATCTATCATTACTTTAGTCTATATGTAATCTGTATGCCTTCCTTTTTAAATCCCTGTAACAAAAACAGATGTTTCAAAAATGGTAACTTGTAGGACAAAATCAATAAATTCATTCTTTTTAAAAATATTTATCGATGCCTCATCTACAAAAACTTACAGTAAGATGCTTTATTTTCTCTGATTGATTGCCAGATTTTAGAACATTGACGAAATCACATAGTTTATTATAAATGTCGTGACTACTTTCGAAAATACAATAAGATGAGAGGATGAATATTTGAAATCGCATTAACATTGTTATAATATTTTACTGTGGGAAACGTAGTGAATACCTGCCTGATTTAGATGTGAAATTTTAATCAATCTTTACTTGACTAAACTAAGTGTAGCAGGTAAAATAATAAACGAACTATTGTTTTAATAATAAATTTAATTATTACAGTGTTTCTGTGTTTAGGATTAACTTAAGAGGATTTAGGAATATTGTGGGAAGTATTTATTGAAGCCCGGCTTATTGTTCAATTTACCCCTTTCAGCCATAATTCAGTAACCTAAACTACCCTTTGTATATAGAATAGTACTAATGATCAACAAACCAACTAAATTTGCTGACATATTTTTTACTTCCATTACCTGTCAACGAAAAGTAACGGAACTTGCTTTTGAATCTTGACTTATGTGGTTTGACTGAATAATACAAGTATGTTCGGGATGCGATTTTCCTCGTCGAAATGAAAAATGTTGCTTCAGGAATGGTTTGTATCGGCACCTGAACTAGTGATAGGGAGTGAAGCGGTTGAGCATGTTGACCGCCTCACTTACCTCAGGAGTCTCATCAGTGTTGATGGTCTGGTGACTGACGAAATCTCAGCACGGATACAGAAGGCTTGATTGCAGTCCTGATCAGTAGTATACGACGAGTATTACAAACTAGATAATACTAAGTTAGTCAAAACCTTGTGACTACTCAGTGTAAACTCAGTCCCACAAGAGGCTAGTCTATGTTTATGTTAGCAGTGGATAATACAAATTTCACTATTGGAAATGGTATCAGCCCCTTCAATACTGAAGTTTCATCTTACTGATGTTTGCCAGTCCGTATAAAATCTAAGATTAAAGATTACTTCCGACTACCTCATATGGATTTGATCACTTGTTTGTAACTAACAGTTGAATTAAATGAAAGTGAATTTCATTTAGAAGGTTTTACTGTAGTCCCTTAATTTTCTTTGGGGTTTTAATCTGTGTTAACAATCGAAACCTAATTTTTAACAGAATGAGCTGTCAGAACCTTTAAGTTCCGAATAGTTATAAATACAAATAATAGTAGCAATAATACTATTTTTTTGGATACAATGATGTCAAGGAGAATTTCATTCTGAGGATGTTGCCGGTTTTCTTTACTTCTGTTTGAATTCCTCACTTTGATAACACAACGATCATTATAATGGATAATTTACTAGATTATTAAGGTTGCAAATATCATATCTTCAATCTTCAGATATGATACAGCTATGACAAATAATCCTAGATTGTCCGCTGCATCATATTTTTGTGCTTTTTAGGCTCCCAGCTTTATCAGTTTCGTAGTAGAGATAATTTCTTATGTTATTATGTTAGCTTTCATCGTATAAGACTGTGTGAATACTTACTGATTTAATCAGTTAACCTTAAAGATCGGTGTTACATATAAGTATCGTGCAAACTGATATGTTTTGTCACTTAGTATGCTTGAGGCTATTACGAGTTTACCTTAGTCGATAAACGCGAACGAGACTTTTACCAGCTTCCAGGAAGGCTACCTTGAATCCAAACGGGAAAACAGAAGTCTTGGTAAGAGTAGAAAGTATATTCTACAACCACCCAGCAATCCAGTACAATCAAGCATACAACTCTCGTTTATTTATACAACATAACAACGTCCTTGAGACAGTTAAGAAAATAGCATACTAAAATACACTGTAGCCAATCACAGCCATTGATTTTCCTGGTGGGAATTGAAATCTCAAGGTCATTTGATCAGCCCCTGCTGGCGAAACGTAAAAACCAAAATACGGCATTATCATGCGAATTTTGGGGATCTAACATCCCCAACACTCCTCCCCTTTTTAATAGCTTGTTCTCCTGGGGTCGACTTGCATCTTGACTATTGTTCGCCGCTGTCTGAGGGGATACCTTCGGGAACGAAGAACAGCTTGCTGCTGAGTTTCTTCTCGTGGCGGGGCTCTCGGTAGGTTGAAGGTATCAAGCAAGATGTCAAGGGGAAGGCTTTCTGCTCTTGATGGGCGATCTGGGGCTAGCCGTCTGCGTATCTGATTGCGATGACGTGACCATTTATCACCTCCTACCTCTACTTCGTACATAACTCGACCAACCCTTCTGACCACTCTCGCTTCTACCCAAGGACCATGGTTCGTTCTGTAGTCGCGGGCAAACACAGGGCATCCTACTTCGTAAGCGGATTGTCTTTGCTGCTTTGTCTTTACTGATGAGGGTGCATTAGTCGGATGCATCAGGCTGTGGATCGTTTTCAATCTTCTTCCCATCAGGATTTCAGCTGGGGACTTTTGCTCCGGTAACAATTCATTTGGTGTTGTCCGATAGACGTACAAGAAATTTTGTAACGTTTCGGCTGGCGTCCCCTCCCCTTTTGACTTGAGCAGTGCTCTTTTAAACGTATCCACAAACCTTTCCGCCTGCCCATTCGATTGCGGGTGGTATGGTGGCGAGCGTAAGTGTTTAATAGCTAGCCGTTGACAGAAATTCTGGAATTGGGAAGAGGTGAATTGAGAGCCATTGTCGGATACGATCACATCTGGTATGCCATTTCGTGAGAAAATTTCAGTTAGGAGCTGTATAGTCTTAGTTGTAGTGGGCGGCATAACGGGGCTGATTTCCGGCCATTTAGAAAAGGCGTCGACGACAATTAAATACATAGTTCCATTTATTGGGCCAGCGAAGTCGACATGTATCCTGGACCAAGGATGCTCAGGTTTGGGCCATGAAACCGGCGGAATTTTGGCATTCATCTTTGCCGCCTGCTGACACCGGATGCATTTTTCAACCAACGCTGTGACATGTTGATCCATGTGAGGCCAGTATGCATAACTCCTGGCTATGGACTTCATTCGTTTAATCCCAGGATGACCAAGATGGAACTGTCTCAGCACTTTTGCACGAAGGGATGCTGGAACCACTACTCTTTCACCAAACATGAGACAATCGTTCACGATGCATAGTGAATTCCGCCGCTGATACAGTTGCTTGATGTCACCTTCAAACTTTTTCGACGGCCAACCTTTAGTGACATATTTCATCGTCATCTTGATGATGGGGTCGTTTCTAGAAGCATTTTGTATGTCTGTTGCAGACACCGGTAATGCGCGAACTGCGGTTGTCAGATCACATTCTGCGTGGTCTTCTACTGACAGAGATGCGATCACCATGTTTTCCTCAGCCGCCACTTGATCATTAATGAGTCGTGACAAAGCGTCTGCTTGACCGAATTGTAGAGTGCGTCGATATTGGATTTCGAAATCATACCCCAAAAGTACCAAGGCCCATCGCTGGAGACGATTTGCAGAATGGGCTGGAATGCCAGACTTTGAACCAAATATTGCTAACAGAGGCTTGTGATCTGTGAGGAGCGTGAATCTCCGACCGTACAGAAACTTATGGAAACGGCGAACAGCAAACACAAGGGCAAGAGCTTCTTTCTCTATCTGGCTATACTTCTTTTCTGCTGGGGTCAGTGTACGGGATGCATGCATAACGGCTTTTTCTGACGCGTCTGGAAACTGATGTGAAATAACAGCACCTAGGCCATATGCTGAAGCGTCTGCTGCTACGATGATCGGCATGGATGGATCGTAGTGTGTTAATAACAATTCCGAGCTAATTATAGACTTGAGTTTACCAAAAGCCGCGTCACACTCTTTAGTCCAGTTCCATGTGCTATGCTTCTGCAGTAGACAATTCAATGGAGCGCGAATATCATGCATCGAGGGAACAAAAGCTGAATAATAACTGATCAAACCGAGAAAAGATCGTAATTCGGAAACATTAGTGGGAGTAGGCATCAGTTTGATAGCTCGGATGTTTTCAGGATCCGGTCTGCGACCGTCGGCATCTAAGATGAATCCCAAATACTTTACCGACTGCAATAGAAACTGGCATTTTTCTGGGCGTAACCGGAAACCATTGTCACTGATGCGTTGTAGTACCAATGTCGTGCGTTCCCGTAGCTGTTCTAACGTCTTCGCAACAATCAAGA